AAGCAGACACAAATACTAGTTCACTCTAGCTAAAAATGTTCTGTTTATTTGATTTGGCTACTACCTCAAGTGGTTGCAGTGTCTGCCTTGTGGGAACAACTTTGTAAATGCTTCTCAATCTGTCTAAGCTACAGGTAACTACTTTCTCTTGATTCTATTAGGTATTTCCTTCTATAGAACCACAAGTACTAAAAAGCACAACTGCATAAATTCAGTTAGAAGATTTAATATAAAAATGTATTAATGATATAATATGTTAAAATTATATAGAAGAAAATATGGACCATAATATGAACCATAAGTTGTTTAAGAGAGACAGGTTATCAGAACAAATCATAGAAATTATTTAACCCTTGTCCAGCATAAAAATTTCTGTTGAGATAATGCATTTTGCAATAAAGAAGGTTCTTCCTTTACCAATGTTCACAGAAGGACAGGATGGTGAAAACCAGTGAGGATTGTGAGGCACTCCAAAGGGATCTGTCAAAGATGGGTAAGTGGGCATCAACATGGCAAATGGGGTTCAATGTGGCCAAGTGCAAGGTGATGCACATTGGAGCCAAAAATCCCAAATATAAATACACATTGATGGGTCTGAATTGGCAGAGACTGATCAAGAGAGAGATCTTGGAGTTGTAGTAGATAACTCACTGAAAATGTCGAGACAGTGTGTGACTGCAATAAAGAAGGCCAATGCTATGCTGGGGATTATTAGGAAGGGTATTGAAAACAGATCAGCCAATATCATAATGCCCTTATATAAATCAATGGTGCGACCTCATTTGGAATACTGTGTGCAATTCTGGTCACACCTTTTAAAGGATATTATATCTTTGGAAAAAGTGCAGAAAAGGGCAACTGGAATGATAAAAGGGTTGGAACACTTTCCCTATGAGGAAAGGTTAAGGCGCTTAGGGCTCTTTAGCTTGGAGAAACGACGACTGAGGGGTGACATGATTGAGGTTTATAAGATTATGCATGGGAAAGAGCAGGTAGAGAAAGAGGTACTTTTCTCCCTTTCTCACAATACAAGAACTCGTGGGCACTCCATGAAATTGCTGAGCGGTCGGGTTAGAACGGATAAGAGGAAGTACTTCTTCACCCAAAGAGTGATTAACACTTGGAAGTCACTGCCACAGGAAGTGGTGGCAGCTACAAGCATGGACGGCTTCAAAAGGGAATTAGATAAGCATATGGAGCAGAGGTCCATCAGTGGCTATAAGCCACAAGGTATAGATAGGGACTCTGGGGCAAGTGATGCTCTGTCATCTTGGTGTTTGGGGGGGGGGGTCAACAGTGGGAGGGCTTCTAATGTCCTGGCCCCACTGGTGGGCCTCCTGATGGCACTGGTATTTCTGGCCACTGTGTGATATAGAGTGTTGGACTGGATGGGCCTTTGGCCTGATCCAACATTGGCATCTCTTATGTTCTTATGTTAAGATTGTACTTCTAGACATCAGTACGCTATATCTTTACTCATACTTTGTATTTGAAAGCTATGTGATACCAAAGCACAAAAAACTTAGAGCCACACTGAAGGTATTGGGGGGGGGGCTGAGGCAGATGTGAGAGTGGGGGCCTAGCTGCTTCCCTCTACAAGTGTTGTGCGTCAGCTAGGGCTCAGTGATAGCAAGAACTCCTCAGGAGACGAGGAGCCAGTCTTGAGTTAAGAGAAGTTGACCGGCAAGAGAATGAGATGCAGGCTTGTCAGGATTCACAACCAACAGCTGGTGCAGAGCCACCAACACCCTCCAGCCCTGATTCATGAGGTGAACCTCAGTTGGCCATTCCCAGCCCACCAGTATCACCTACACCCTCAGAGTACTGCAGATGGATGCTGAGAACAGAGCTACAGACAAGTCAGCAAAGTGCACGCCTCCTGGCCTGATGCCAACTGCTTGCTGATAACAAAGATGAACAGTTGCAGGATTGCTTCTGAGCAACTGGTTGCAAGCTTTACCCTTAGGCGTGAGGCTATAAAAACAACCAAGAAAGGCTGTTTGGCATGGATGCAATATGTATGATAGATGCTAAGCCACCAACTCTGCTTTGTCTGACTTCTAGCCGCTCCCTTGGACCAAGCTACACTGCCTTGCTTGACTTCTGGCACCTGATAATCGGATAGGGTTCCCATTCTCCAGGTGGGGGTGGAGGGTTCCTCTGCTTTTTGGGGCTTCTGCCCATTGCTGGCCAGTGGGGGAAACACCACCCCCAAACAGCAACATCCCAATCAGGGACATCACCGCGCGATGTTGCTGTTTGGGGGCGGTGCACCATGCCACTCCTGGAAGGCTCCCTCCCACCCCCCACTGGTGCTTCATGACGACCTGGCAACCCTATACTTGGAGCCTGTGAACCAGTACACCAGGAACACCAAGCAGGGGGGAGGTGTCACATTCATGAATTCTTGTGCCCATGAATCATGTGCAACAATTCTCTTATGTAGAATACTCGTTCCTGGGGCAAAAGCAGGTAATTGCAGTGAGTGTTAACTGCAGGGACAGGTTTCAAAGCAAAAATGACATTAATAGTTAAGGTATTTACAGAACTTATGTTACAAAGCTGAGAGCAAAAGCAAACACGACATTTAGGTTTATAGAGTTGCCAGCCAATTTCGGGAGATTTGGGGGTGGATCCTAGAAAGGGTGGGGTTTGGAGTGGGAGGGACCTCAGAAGGGTATAATTTGAACACATGAAGCTGCCTTCTACTGAGTCAAAAAAAAGAACACCACTTGTACAATGCAAGCCAGTGGTTCTTGCATTGTACACTGGCTTCCCCCACCCCCCTTTTTTTGGCTGCTTCTACTGAATCAGACAAAAAAATCTGGACACACACGATCCAATCAGTTGTAACAAGTATAAAGCCAACAGTCGTGATAGTCTGACCCACAATCAAACAGTCATAAGACTTATAAAGAATGCTGTTTATGTATTGCAATCTAAAGCACTATAACATGATACACAACGTCGTCTCCGGATTACATAACAACGTTTCAAAAAATGAATCTTCTTCAGGAGATATTCTGTAGTGTACAAAAATACAATTTTTACTATATGTGCTACACCAATAACCACAGACAAGAGACAATACAATAATCTTACACTGCCTCCTACTACCCACCACCCATTAGCAATCTGCAAGGTCCCTTTAATTGCACTCTGGTAGCAATCACCAGTGATCCAGTAGAAACATAGCAGCATATTTTGAGCCTGTATGTTAATTGAGATCAGCGTCCTATCTGAATTTAATGTAAGTTACTACTAGGTTGATTAGTTGTAATTTGAAATATCTTGTATGTGTTCATAACAAAGGTAATATTACTATTACAGATTTTTAAGACTTGTCTAACATTTATGAAACTGAGAGCTTTGGCACCACTATGTAAGTAAGCACTAAGATTATTGTATTGTCTCTTGTCTGTTGTTATTGGTGTAGCACATATTCCAAAAATTGTATTTTTGTACACTACAGAATATCTCCTGAAGAAGATTCATTTTTTGAAACGTCGTTACGTAATCCGGAGACGACGTTGTGTATCATTTTATAGTGCTTTAGATTGCAATACATAAACAGCATTCTTTATAAGTCTTATGACTGTTTGATTGTGGGTCAGACTATCACGGCTTTATACTTGTTCAACCTTCTACTGAATCAGACCATTGATCCATCACAGTTAGTATTGTCTATTACTCAGACTGGCAGCAGTTCTCCAAGATCTCAGGCTGAAGTCTTTCACATCACCTCCTGCCTGATCATTTTAACTGGAAAAGCCGGGGATTAAACTTGGGACCTTCTGCATGCCAAGCAGATGCTCTCCCAGTGATCCACAGCCCCTCCAGGGTATATAATAATATTTAAAAAAACAAAACCCAAGCTACCATTTCCTCTAGGGGAATTGATCTCAAAGAAGACGGGGACGGCAAAGGATGAGATGGTTAGGCAGTGTCATAGATGCACTGAACATGAAATTGAGCAAACTTCAGAGGATGGCGGAAGACAGGAGGGCCTGGCGGGATCTGGTCCATGGGGTCGCGAAGAGTCGGACTCGACTGTGCGACTGAACAACAACAACAAAAAGTGTGGTGAATCAGTTGTAATTCCTGGAAATCACCAGGCACCACCTGGAGGCTGGCAACTCTTATTATTAATGATTTTTTTTTTGCTGTATGAGAATGTGAAGGCTGCTAATTTGAAATGGATCAAAGTGAAACTAATCAGATTGACCATCACACACACTAAATCCACTTTCACTGCACTTCAAATTGCTTAGTGTGTGATCATCCTAGCAGATGAGGACCCTGAAACGACTCGCTTGGTGGCAAAATATCTATCCATAGTGCTATTTTTAAAGCGACTTTGAAATGCTGTAGTTTTATGTATACAAATTTTTCAAATTCTAAAACTAATTTCCACAATATCATGGGATTTTATAGAGTTTATGGAAGTCTATAAAATGTTGTCTATTGATATTGTTTATGAGTATGTTTATTAGTTTTTATTGTAAAAATGTTTGGTCTAAATTATCTTGTAATCATATGTAATGTATTTTATAGTAGCTGTTTGAACTTTTGACTTAAGAATGAAGCTAATAAATGAAAGTGTGCGTGATCGCAGCGGATGTGACTTTTCACTTGGTCCATTTCCTCCCATCATGGTAGAATCTAGAAGGGTAGGGGTCTTGATTATAGATAATATAGATAGATGTAAAATCTACAAAGAAAGATGGATTTTGTTGAGTCCAGAAGGCCAGGAAGAGTCTTTTTTATAGAAATGAAAGTGACCGTGAACAGGGTATTTTGTAAAGCCACTTCAACTGCAGTCTACCTGAAGACTTTGTTGCTGCCGGTCATGATGGATTCGGCCAACTTCTTCTACCTGCGAGAAAGAAAAGTGAATCCCGACGCGCGCGTCCCCCCCCCCTCCCCCCCGTGTCTTGTGAACCTTTAGCTCTACGGGACCGCCAAGCAGCCACCGGGCCGAGGAGGACCCCCGTTCGGGTATCGCGATTCGCGAGGGAAATCCCGCCCCGAAGAGGCGAGTCCTATGGCCGGCTGCTCAGAGCGCCGACAGCCGGGAAAAGTGAAAGAGGAAGTGGACGGGCTCGGCTGCGACGCGGACGGAGAGCGCGGGGGGAAGAAGGGGCGGCCGGGCTGCCTACGCGACCCCCCTCCCGGGGAAGGGCCGGGGCCGCGGCTGCTGGGAGAGAAGGAGAGCGAGAGGCCGGCCGGCCGGCGGGCGGGCGTGAGCGGGAAGAGCCGTTTCCCGGGCGGAGGCGCCGAGGAGGGAGCATGGGGGCCGCCGGGGCGCTGCGGGCCGCCCTCTGGGGCCTGCTCTTCCCGCTGGTAAGGGGGCGCGGCTGCCGGGCTCCGAGAGCGGTGGGCCTCCCGGCGCCCGGGTGTCTTCGGTTTTTGATTTGGTTGAACTTCCCCCCGTGTGGACGGCGTGGCGGGGGGCGGGGGGGCGCCCGTCTCTCCGAGGTGGCGTGAAGCGTTCAGATGGGCCAGGTCGGGCGTGCTGCAGACACGCAGTCACAATCCTGGTGGGAACTCCTCCTCGGCCTGGGCGAAGGAAACCTCCGTGGCCGCAGGAAGCGTGTCCTGTCTCCTGTGCCTGTCTGAAGGTGGGAATGGCCGCGGCCTGCCGCCTGGAAGGCTATCCTGCTGGCCCACTTAGGAGACGGACTAATGGATTAAATGGGCTTTTGGCTTGGGAGTTATTGTCGGGGCTATTTTTAACTCTGATAGTGAACTTGCCTTCCAATGCAGGACAGAGAAACGGGGCCACCTGCGGGCAAAGTGAGAGTCTGTGCATACTAAATGCCCTCTCACCAATGCAGAAGAATCACAGAGTTTGTAAACCTCTGAGTGCCAGGGCTAGGAGGCATCATCCGGGCAGGCCTTGGCCTCTGTGTTCTGTCTGTCAGGGACTGGTAAGTAAAGGTAAAGGTTCCCTTGCTCGAAAGCCAGTCGAGTCCGACTCTAGGGTTGCGGTGCTCATCTCCCTTTCAAAGCTGAAGAGCCAGCGCTGTCCGAAGATGTTTCTGTGGTCATGTGGCCGGCATGACTAAACACCAAGGCGCACAGAACGCTGTTTCCTTCCCACTGAAGTGGTACCTATTTATCTACTTGCAATTTCTTGCTTTCGAACTGCTAGGTTGGCAAGAGCTGGAACTAAAGACGGGAGCTCACTCCATCATGCGGCAACTTGGGTCTCAAACTGCTGAACTACTGACCTTCCACAGCCTGCAGTTTAGCGTCTTAACCACTTGAGCCACCGCAGCTCCTTTCAGGGACTGGTAAACAGGGATAAATAAACAGGAAATGACTTATGTAGCCCCAAACAAGAATAGTACAATGCAGAAGAAGGAGCATTCGGTCCGTGGTTAGCCAGTCTTTAAATCAGGATGCAAAACTAGATGGATCCAGTAAGGCATCTCTGGTAAGATTAAGACAGACACCGTGGCCCATACCCCTTATATGGCCAGGTGGCTACAAAGAAGGCCCATTGCCCTTTGTGAGCCAAGAGAGATGTGAAATTGACCTGCTTAAATCCCTTGCGGTATCCTGAAGGAATCTGTGGAATGGAAGCAAGCATCCCTCCCTTAAGTACAGTCAGATCCCACCATCTCCTGCCAGATTGTGTGTGTGTGTAAAGTGCCATTAAATTGCAGTGGACTT